TTGCTATTCCTCCAGCTGGTCCTTTTCTAGAGGGATTGAAATCTGCAGGAAAGTGCTTTTGAGTCAAGTCTGTGTCTCCTTCTGTATCACAGCAGATGTCCCCATTCTCCTAGCAGGCTCCAGGTATTCTTGATGCAGCCTTTTACCTTTAATTACTAAGCACTTTATTAGTACTTGCTGTGTTGCAAGTACTGTTCTAAGCACTTGTGTGTATTATGAATTCAGTTATTCCTCATAACAACCTCATGAGGAAGGCATTAATATTAACCTTATTTTACTGATGACAAAAATAAGCCAGATAGCAGTTAAGCAAGTCACGGTCATAGCTAGGAAATCTGGCCCTAAGCTTGTAACCTTCACATTATAATGACCCTCTAACGTCTGTGTCTAAGTCTCAGAGTGCCTTAGCAATACCCCAGCTGACAAAGGTTATCCTTACCACAGTAGTCGTAGCAGTTGACAAGTCTGTAAAGAACATTTACATTAATGGTATGTTTAGTCTTTGGCCTTGTTTTTAAGTTATAGAGTAAACTAAGTACCATCTCAGTAACAGTAGGGAGTTATTTCCTTAAACATAAGAAGAGTAAAAGTTGGTGAAACTTCTGAATGTGTATATATTATGTAACTCCAGCTACGCTGAGCACTGGTTTTTCAGTGGAGTCCTGAGTCTACTCTGTGGACCTATAACTTAAAAGATCTTGAGGCCAGGCGTGGTGGCTCATGCCTGTAATCCAGCACTTCGAGAGGCTGAGGCAGGAGGATCACGAGGTCAAGAGATTGAGACCAGACCATCCTGGCCGACATGGTGAAATCCCATCTCTACTAAAAATACAAAACTTAGGTGGATGTGGTGGCACGGGCCTGTAGTACCAGCTACTCGGGAGGCTGAGGCAGGAGAATTGGTTGAACCCGGGAGGTGGAGGTTGCAGTGAGCCGAGATTGTACTACTGCACTCCAGACTAGTGACAGAACAAGACTCCATCTAAAAAAAAAGAAAAAAAATCTTGAAAAGGATATGGAAGGAGCTGACATGGTCATAAAAACATGACCTCAGTTCCAAAAAAAAACCTAAATATTGAGCTGTGATATGATCCAGCAATTCCACTGCTGGGTAAATACCTGAAAGAAAGAAATCAGTATATAGAAGAGATATCTGCACTCCCATATTTGTTGCAGCACTGTTTACAATAGCGAAGATTTGGAAGCAACCCAAGTGTCCATCAACAGATGAATGGATTAAAAAAATGTGGTCCATGTACACAATAGAGTGCTAGTCAGCCTTAAAAAGAATGAGATCCAGCCATTTGCAAAAACATGGATGGAACTGGAGATCATTATGTTAAGTTAAATAAGCCAGATACAGAAAGACAAATGTCACATGTTCTCACTTATTTATGGGATCTAAAAATCAAGTCAATTGAACTGATGGACATAGAGAATAGAAGGATGGTTACCAGGAGCTGAGAAGCGTAGTAGGGGGTTGGTGGAGAGGTGGGAATTGCTAATGGGCACAGAAAAAAAAAGAAAGAATGAGTAAGACCTAATATTTGATAGCACAATGGGATGACTATAGCCAATAATAACTTAATTGTACATTTTAAAATAACTTAATATAATTGGATTGTTTGTAACTCAAAGGATAAATGCTTGAGGGGAGGGATATACCATTCTCTATGGTATGCTGATTTCCCATTGCATGCCTGTATCAAAACATCTCACGTGCCCCATAAATACATACAACTACTATTTACCCACAAAATTTAAAAAATAATAAAAAGATTAAAAATAAAACAATTAAACAGAAAAATGTGACCTCGGGGGAAATGATTAGACAAAGTTATGTCAATCAGGAAAACTAATGAAGGTTTAAAAACAGTTTACCTTTTAAAAAATTTCTCTACAAATGACCATAGAAAAGGAAAGGAAATTTAAAAACGAAAAGGATTCAAAAGTCAGATTTACAAGAAATATAGGCTGTTAACTCCTTTAAGAACTATATTAAAGAATTTGTCTGAAAAAAGTGAGTTATTCATTCAGCACCAAAGAATAAGAGTATAGTGCTGAAAGGTCCCATTCAAGGCACCAGTGATTTGTTCAGGAGCAGACCCAGTCTTCAGCCCTTCTGAACTAAGAGAAGAACCGAAGCAGTAGTCACTTGTGAAATGCATTGTAACCTGAATGGGGGAATGTGTGAGAATAATGTTCTCCCAAATTTTCATGCACAGGGATCCCTTTACTATTTCTCCTCCTCCTCTAACCTCATGTTTTAAAATGTTTTATCTTCTGTATTAGTCTGCAGGAGCTGCCATAACAAAGTACTCCAGACTGGATGGCTTAAACAATAGAAATTTATTTTCTTACAGTTCTGGAGGCTAAAAGTCCAAGAGCAAGGTGCTGTCAAGGTCAGTTTCAGGTGAGGGCTCTCTTCATGATTTGTAGATGGCCACATTCTCACTGTGTCCTCACATGGCCTTTCTTATGTGTATATGCAGAGGGAAAGAGGTCTCTGGTATCACTTCCTCATCTTATAAAAATATAAATTTTATAAGACTCAGCTGCTCCTTCTAAAATGTCGTTTAATCTTTTCTCTCTCTCTCTCTTTTTTGAGACGGAGTCTTGCCCTGTTGCCTGGGCTGGAATGCAGTGGCATGATCTCAGCTCGCTGCAACCTCCGCCTCCTGGGTTCAATGATTTCCGTGCCTCAGCCTCCCAAGTAGCCAGAACTACAGGTGGCTGCCACCACACTCAGCTAATTTTTGTATTTTTAGTAGAGACAGGGTTTCACCATGTTGACCAGGCTGGTCTCGAACTCCTGACCTCAAGTGATCCACTCACCTCAGCCTCTCAAAGTGGTGGGATTACAGGTATGAGCCACCGTGCCCAGCCCATTTAATCTTTATTACCATTATTTATTACCTCTTTATAGGCACTATCTCCAAATACAAACACATTGGAGATTAGGTTTCAACATGAATTTTGAGGGGATGCAATTCAGTTCATCACAGCTACCAAGTGAAAGGTATTAAGTAGTAACTCATTTCTTAACGAGGCAAAGGAATTTATAACCACAAAAGAGCTTCTGAGAAAATAAGATAATGAGTGTAATTACCCTGTTTTGACTATAAGCAAAAGCCAAATTTAGCATTTGATTTTAATTGTACATTTTTAATAAATATGTCACCATTACTTTTATTTTATTTTATTTTATTTTTTAGACAAAGTCTCACTATGTCACCCAGGCTGAAGTGCAATGGTATAGTGATCTCAGCTCACTATAACCTCTGCCTCCCAAGTTCAAGCGATTCTCCTGCCTCAGCCTCCCAAGTAGCTAGGATTACAGGTTCCTACCACGCCTGGCTAATTTTTGTATTTTTAGTAGAGGCAGGTTTCACCATGTTGGCAAGACTGACCTCGAACTCCTGACCTCAAGTGATCCACCCGACTCAGCCTCCCAAAGTGTTGAGATTACAGGCATGAGCCACAGCACCTGGCAAACATTTAATTCAATATTTTGACATATGAAAAACAGTATGTCAAGTTCTGTACTGCCACATTGCATTCCTCAGATGTCCAGAGACACTTGATTGATCCATATCAATATCTTTTCTCTTTTTTTTAGCAGAAAGGTGCCCACTACCTTAGCAAGTGCCATGTATCCTACAAAGATGAATAAAACACAGAGATGAAACAAGTACACTAATAATGCAATACAACTCATTTCTTATGTTACAAAAACTCTTGGAGGATTTAGAAGGAACATTCACTCCCGGTGGAATATTCCCAAGTGACTTCAAGGGCAAGGTGGCATTTGAGTTGAATCTTTCAGATTGAGGAAAAGAATACAAGCTGAGGGGACAGGATGAGTAAATAAAAACAAAGACACAGGGTTTCTTCTAGGAAAGGAAGTAGTCCCAGTTGGTTGGCCTGAACAACAGGGAGACATCAAAGGTTTCAGAGCAGAAGAAAGAGAAACACAGTGAGAATCATGATTTGTCAACATTCATGTGGAAACAGGCTCCTGGCTAGATTGGGCAATAGGCGGCAGAGAGCCTGGAATCAGGGTAACCCATGTCGTGCATTGGTAACCGTCCAGGAGAGCCTAAGGAGGCCTGGATTTGGATGCTGGCTGTGGTCTGGAACGGAGAGCACAGATGCTGGGATCATTGCCAAGGTTCTATGAAGATGGTTTGTCATATGTTTGAAGAGTAAGGATGAAGGAGAAGTTAAAGGTCCTGCTGATGTTTGTAGAAAAGTATTAAATCATGGGAGAGAAGTCTGCAGAGACCTTTTAACATAAAACCTACTAAATCAGTGGTTCAGACTGAGGCTCCATGGAAATGCCTGAGGGTACAAGGCCTCTGGAGCAGCAGGAGGTGGCTCCCCACCTCTTTCAATCAAAGCGGCTTCTTTTTTATCTGTTTTATAGATGAATTTCACGTGAAATTTTACTGGTTTTTTGAAAAAGGCTTCTCTGCTCTAAAACATTTGAGAACCAGTATGCTGGGGCCTCCCAAGTTGATATTCTAAATCGAGACAAGTCTCCAAAATGTTACTCAAAATCTTATTCAAATCAGTGCCTCCTAGGTGGTTTCCCAGCTACACACACACTTGCCTCAGGCCAGTACATGTCACTGGTTGCATTGAGCAGCTGATGTTCAGAGCACCCCTGCAATAGCTCCAAACATGAGCTAGAAATCTTTAAACAATCGGTGCTCTCCTGAGAGATATTTTTATGCTTCCTCTTCCTTGCCTGATGATATTTTTGGCCCTTTGCAAGGAAATTAGGAAATTCCACTTTTATCTCAGTCATTACCTGGGAGTACTGAGGACAACAAAGGAACTTCTGAGAGAGGATAGGATGGTAGTGGATAGACCAGATAAGCACTATATTTTGATCTTCATAGAAATGACCAAATGTTTGTTCAATTTTTATTCTTCTAAAGCAATTATTCCATTGCAATGCATGTCATCTTATTCTGAAACAAAAGCCAGTTTCTTACCTGCACCATGAACTAAAAAGATAGCTCTCAAGTCTTACTTTCTCCTTCCTTGATACAGATTTTATCCCCTTTGTGGTCCAGAAGCTGTTCCCAATGATCTCCAAAGGGCAAAATACTTCCATGATGAACATTTTGTCTATAAAAATCAAGAAAATAGGCATCAAAAATTTTGGTTTTTATGCGAATTAAAACAGCGGCAACCTAAGCATTTCATAGTGTCATGAAGGCAAACAACAGGTTTTTTAATTTGCTTTATAACATATCTGCAGTATACCCAGGAAGAACTGATGTTCCAATGAATTACGAAAGCTTCTTATACCTCTTTTTACCCATAGCTTGAAGAGTTCAGCTTTTAAAAAGCTGTTGATATTGAACAAGTGTTATTCACAACTGCCAAATATTGGAATTTCCAATGACTACTGACTCAGGTTAAAAATAGTGTTAATACTTATTTACCTTTCATGATTTACAAGTGTTTTGCTACATATTTCTACTTTTAGTCTTCACAATCATTTTTACAAACCAGGCAGGCTGGTTTCCTCTAATTTATGAAAGCATGTTAATATTTAATGATAAGCCACAAATTTCCTAGCATGGAGCCTTGTTGAGACAGCAGGAGGTTTCATAGAGACTGTTAGAATGGGAAGAGCCTAGAAATCATCACTCTGCTAATGTCATTGAAGAGGAAGAAACTAGAGCCAGAAATTGAGTCATTTCCCCAAGTTCCCACACAGGGTTTCTAGAACTGGAACCACAACCAGGTTTCCTGGCTCTGTGGGGGCAGTCGTCTTTCCCTACTGCATCGGAGAGCACAGTTGCCATCACGGGGGTGTTGAGACATTAAGTGAGCTGGATTAGACAAGAAGATATCCATGTTTGCCTTCATCTTATAACTTATGTAGCCATCTGTGTCTTAGAACTAAGTAATTACTGAAACATTAAAAGTTCTCTTCACCTTCAGTCATTATATTTACGTCAATTTTGAATTTAATTTATAACCAAATTATGTATCCCTTTTCTTTCATTGCAAGCATTTTTTGCCCCATATGGCTATCAACCCCTTAAACCATGCATTCAGCACCTATACTTAGAAAGTAAGCATTCGAGTGCCATACGATTTCAGAATTTCCGGCTAGAGTTTTCTGGTGGTCACATAAAAATAAACCAAACATCTTTGATCTTAAAAGGAAGAAAGAAAGATCTATTTCAAAAATGAACAATAACATTTTTGTTTTCAAAGTTGGAGAATTAATTTTTAAAATTCCTAGACCACATCATGTCTGGTATTCCTCCTGTACACAGCCATCAGTCAAGTTGCCACATGACTTTAAGAAACTTCCCTATCACATAGCAAAACAATTGAAACGTGAGAAATTAATGAAGAAAATGAAATGGTGGTAGCACCAAAGTGGTCCACTCTGGCACCTGTACCCTTCTATGATCTTCTCAACCTGCTTTATGACAATTCTGAATTTCAGGAGCTTCATTTTTTATATGTAGAATTTTTTTACTGTTAATATCACATCCAAGTCACTCTAGTCTTCTGAGAGCAAGAAAATACATCATACCTGTTTCTCAAGAAAATCTTCCATTCCCAATGGAACTATGCAACTTTATGGTATAATCCAGGGACTTTGCTGTGAATAGCATCTGCTGAGATGTGCCCTGAACCTAATAGAGAACAAGGAAAAAACCTTATTTCAGGAGATTGGGGCAGTCCCACATGGTCTGCAAAATAGGAAGGCTTTTGAGAGGCAGGGCAGTTCTAACCCTGCCCATTCCATGCTCCATTTTCAAAATGGTGGGCACTGTCATGCCTCATTCTCACCCTGGTCTTTGATGTCAGGAGGATCCTCAGTATGATGAGAACAATACTATACTTAAGATGAAGCTAGGCTGTGTGCGGTGGCTCATACCTATAATCCCAGCACTCTGGGAGACTAAGGCGGGTGGATCACAAGGTCAGGAGTTCAAGACCAGCCTGGCCAAGATGGTGACACCCTATCTCTACTAAAAATACAAAAATTAGCTGGGCATGGTAGCAGGCGCCTACAATCCCAGATACTCGGGAAGCTTAGGCAGAGAATTGCTTGAACCCAGGAGGCAGAGGTTACAGTGAGCCAAGATCACAACACTGCACTCCAGCCCAGGCGACAGAGCTAGACTCCATCTCAAAAAAAAAAAAAAAAATCAATTTTAAAAGAGACCCCCAGGTGATCCAGTTTGGAAACCACCGAGTTTAATTCTGGAGTTCCAAATCCTGCATCTTTGAACTGATCCTTTCAGACCAAGCCCAGCATCTCTCGATCTCTTGCCCCACCCTGGCTTTGTCTAGCTGGAGCCTGCTCTCTCATGGTCTTTTGAGCCAACCCTGATCATTTAGAATGAGAGTTACTTTTCCTTCCCTCCAGATGGAGATGCAATATGTCAGGCGCTACTGCCCTGCCCCTGGTTTTTTTTAGAGACAGGATCTTGTTCTGTCTCCCCTCCTCCACTGCAGTGGCGCAATCGTGGCTCACTGCAGCCTTGAATTCTTGGGTTTAAGCAATCCTCCCACCTCAACCTTCTGAGTAGCTGGGACTACAGACACATGCAACCATGCCCGGCTAATTAAAAACAAAACAGCCGGGCGCGGTGGCTCAAGCCTGTAATCCCAGCA